AGGCACCGAACTAGCCGACGGCCTACTACTCCTCCTCTATATGACACAGTTTGCTCATGGGAGGGTCCACTACCAACGCATCGCTTTTTGAGGACGATATGATTGTGGTAATGGTGAGGATCATTCTGATAACCACTGTAATGCTGCTTGCCTACGGGTATACGGCTACAAGGCGAGCTGAGTTGTACTACTATTATTGGGAAGTAATGGCATGGTATGGCGAGGTGCTATCCTTATTGTGGCTTTCCACGCCTGTGTAGTAGCAGTATCTAGTGATTGATCGAAATGCGAAGAATATTCGCGTATATGGAAGCTGTCTGTTGTTGAGCTGTTGTTGTTGGTCAATTGGGCACTTCACTGAAGAGTAGTCCCGTGAAGAGACGTGATGGCAGGAGTAGCCCAGCCCGACTTTAGGAGGAGTACTAGGGAGTACACTCAAGTATTTACTGACTCTAAGCATCTCATTGGGAAGTACAATACTCCTATCATTGGAACGATAACACATCTTAATGCTGCTGCTCAGGTATGGTCTACATAGGCAGGCTATAAGAGACTTCCTGGAACAATTCCAAGATAAGGCTCTTAGTGATGACATATGGGGTGATAAAGGGGATGGTCAACCTACACTGTATGAGGTCACTTAGGCACGAAGAAGTACATGACTCAACTGCAGAAGGTTGTTGATGGTCTCAGTGACCGTGTTGACATCAGTCTGGATGACTTACAACACTCTACGATGGAGGAGGGCCTTGTAGAGGCTATAATGAGGAATACTCAGAGGTGTGGTATGCAGGAGTGGATAGTGAGGCAGACTGAGCAGCTCAGATATCATCTATTCTTTGTGGAGGAATGCCATGCTATCATGCCTCAACCCTCGGTCCACTTCCAACCAAGTAGGAGCTCTTCACCTCCATATTATCACAAGCTTCTTCCTCTTGTTTGCAGACCCCAACAGAGATGTGCGAGCACAGAATGAGTGGCGCGAAGCCGTCGATGATCACATCAAGTAGGTTGCCTTCAGTAGCTCGATTTTCCTTTACTCTATGTTCCAGTTCACAGAGGGCCCTAGCGGGTACTGCTGATCCTCAGAATAAGATGCCTGAGAGGATGAAATGGGACTTTGTGGTGGGTGGTGGCGTCGGCCCATGATGCATAGAGTAATGCCTCTCGATAACATGATAGGTATACATCCATCTGCCCAAGGATGTGGCCTCAACACCATTACGTGAAGTTAAGTCGGGTAGTGTTGGTCGGTTCATCAAGATGGATGGTGTGGTCACTAAAGCTGCTGGAG